GCTTAACGACTGAGCCACCCAGGCGCCCCCAGGGGGATATATTTTTTTAACATTTTCAAATTAATTTTTATTAACTACTTCTAGTTGGACTTGAGAATTTCCTATTTTTTTCCATCTCTAGCCTCTTGATTTCAAATTTTGTAATCTCAGAATAGCTTTCACCAACTAAAATTTCAAAACACACTTGAAAGTATGCATCACCTGGATTCAACAATTGTTGAATTTTGTTACATTTGCTTAATCTTTCTCTGTACACACACACGTGTGTGTGTGCACATGCCTTTTTTTTTCTGAAGCATTTGAAAATAAATTGTATACATCAGAACTCTTCACGCCTAAATTCTTTACTATTCACAATAAAGATCAAAGTAGCTTTTTAGGGGACTAGTACAAAATTGTTCTAAAAAGCAATTCATAAGAAATGCTAATCCAATTATTAAAGCCTCTTAAATATTTTCAAGTTCCTTCTCTAAATGTCTTAATGAGGAAAAGATATAGAACTCCCAGTTCTGAATGTATAAATTCACCCTCCAGCCTCTCTCAACCAAAGCTTTTCATTTGAACTACAGAACACAGAGCATGATTTGAGTGACTATTCTCTCATTTTTCCCAAAGATGGTATCTAACTAGTACTAACCCAGACACATAGGGAAGGAGTTAATTCCTTACAATAGATGTATTAGAATGTTTAAGGAATATTCTAAGGAATGTTAAGGAACATTAAGGAACTCCAGGAACCCAAGTTAGTGGGACTGTGCAAGTGGCAAGTTCTTAAAAGGATTTTGCTTTGAGTAGCTTGTGAAGTTTATATAAATAACTTTTTTTTTTTTTTTTTTAGATTACAGGCCCACCAGGTTGTGGAAAAACTCAGTTTTGTATAATGATGAGCATTTTGGCCACGTTACCCACCAACCTGGGAGGACTAGAAGGAGCTGTTGTGTACATCGACACAGAGTCAGCATTTAGTGCTGAAAGGTAGGAGATTTTATTATTTTCCATTGTAATGTTTAATTTTGTAACTTATTTATAGCATGTAACATTTTCAAACAGGTTAACATTTACCTTTTCTTCCTGAGAATGCAGAATGCTAGATACTGCTTTAATTGAATTTTCCTTTTAAGATTAACACAGGAAGCAGTTTTCTTTTTGTCTTTTCTATCCCTTTGTCATTGGTTTAAGTGAGGTTCCTGGATAAGCTGTGTTTTGCAGAAAGTCAGGAAGAAAGAAGTTTAAGAAACAGAGGGAGGGATGTAAGTGGAAATGGGGAAGAGGGAAAATTAATAAAAAAGACAAAAGGCAAGGTGCTTTGTAACTAATTTCTAGTTGGAAGTAAAATATTAGTGAATGGAAAAGTTGCACATTTCAAAATACATTTTGACTGAGAAGTATTTCACTTAAATCTTTGTAATAGTATGGTATTCAACGTAAGAAACGCACTAATAGTAAGTGTATCTATGCTTGGAAAGGAAAGATTTCCTTAGTTTGGCAGGGACCTTTAACATTCTATGAGAGGCATTTGGTTATTTGGGTAATTCTGTACACCTGAAAATAAGTTTGGTGTCCGTTCCCCCCCGCTCCCCCCCCCCGCCCCCGCCGGCCCTAATTAACCTTCATGAGCAGGAGTACTTATAGGTCTGGGGACTGATTCAATTCTGTTCTTTCAGTCAAGGTGTTGTATAGGTATAGTCCTTTGAATCTGTCTTTAACTGTGTCATGAATCACGTTGTCTGTCTTTATTTCTCTCTAATGATACTAGTTAGATTAAAGTGTATTCCCTGACCAGATAAGTTCCAAATGGATTATTTTGCCTAGAGTTTATTTGCTTTGTTCTGTGTTGCTTGTTATCTATTCTAAGTATATGCCACAGATGTGTCAGCTTTGTGAGTTTGTGTTATATCTTTGCATCTTCAAAGCCAAATCTAGTGACTGATGCATATTAACTGCTCAGAAAATGTTTGATAAATGATGGACAGGCATTACTCTCAAACTGTGAAATCCAGATACCATTTCCTACTAAAAGGAATGAGGGTTCTTGGGGAAATGGCTGCTTCTAGCACTGGTGCAGGAAATTTTTAAGTTGAGTCTGAAACATCATATCAGATGGATGACAAGGAAGCTATCAAAGACTACTTAGGACTCAGGAATCAACCCGACCAGGCGCCCACAAAGATGAGACAAATTGACCACCAATAAGATAATAATGACAGTAGATTAAAACCCATGAAATATGTTTAAGTTCTTGAGTCTGTAATATAAAGAAATGAAAAGCAGGTAAATCTCCAAAATTTTGGAGAAGCAACTCATTATTTTGAAAATGAGTTAAAAAAAAGGAAATCAAACATCTCTTCTTTTTCTATATGAACTGTATTACCGAGTAACAAATAGGTCTTTTTTTTTTGACAGAGAGAGATACAGCGAGAGAGGGAACACAAGCAGGGGGAGTGGGAGAGGGAGAAGCAGGCTTCCCGCTGAGCAGGGAGCCTGATGTGGGACTCAGTCCCAGGACCCTGGGATCATGACCTGAGCCGAAGGCAGAGGCTTAACAACTGAACCACCCAGGCGCCCCAACAAATAGGTCTTTTTACAGGAGTATTCCAGCAATAAATGAAGAAGGAATGATAGAATAGCACCAAATTACAAACCCCAACAATCTGATGGATCTTGGCATTGAATATTGTGATATAATAAGAAATCCATATTTTGTCTTAGTCCTGATTCTTGCCTGCAGAGCTTCTAAAACCTTTGGAATTTCCTGAGTTAATAGAGGTGCCAGAACCATCATTTGTTATTCATAATCACATAATCAACCCCTTTCAACCATACCTGAATTTATGCTATTGAGATGACTCTTGGTGGGCCCCTGGATAGCTTCAGATGGGAGCTGGTTGCCAATCATGTGATATAAAGTGGGAAAATTCAGCTCCACCCATCCTCCCCAACCTCTGAGGAAGAGAAAGAGGCTGGTAACTGGTTAATTGCCAATGGCCAGTGCTTTAATCAATAATGCCTATGCAATGGGATCTCTACAAAAATCTCTAAATGATAGGGTTTGGAGAGCTTCTGGGTTGGTGAACACCCTCAAGGTGCTGGGAGGGTGGTGTGCCATGTAGCCCTCCCTGATCTTTTCCTGAGCTGTATCTTGTATTCTTTGTAATAATTTGGTAATAGTAAGTAAAGTGCCTCCTGACTTTGCATCATTCTAGCAAAATTATTGAACTTGAGGAGGGGGGTGTGGGAACTCCTGATTTGTGGTTGCTTACTTGGTCAGAAGTAGTAGTAGTAGTAGTAGTAGTAGTAGTAGTAGTAGTCCCAGAGGTCCAGGACTTGTGATTAGTGTCTCAAGGTGGGGGGGGGCAGTCTTGTGGTTCTGAGTGTTTAAACTGTGGAGTCTGAGCTAACTCCTGGTAGTTAAGTGTCTGATACCCAGTTTGTGTCCATAGGGAATTAAAGAATTGCTTGGTATGGACAACCCAAATATTTGGTGTCAGAAGTGTTGTGAGTAAAAATAGTTCATAAACATAAAGCCTACTAGCATCACAAAAAGAAAACTAGTCATTGTGTTACTTCCTGATGGAAGAATAGTCAAGCCTGAATATGATCAAGCTTTCAGATCCAATTATCAGTTTACAACATATACAGAGAAGAGAGGAACATGTTAAACTACACCAGAGAGATGCAGTCAGCAAAATCCAAACTGGGAAATGACAGAATAAATGATTGTTGGAGGAGGAACCTTTGGATTAAAAGAGATTTGAAAGGTATATTGCTCTCATCACATTGTATACCTTAAACTTACACAATGTTATATGCCAGTTATATCTCAATAAAACTGGGGAAAAAAGATGTATTGGTCGTTCCAATGTGATGAACCTATTTGGATCTTAAACAAATAAATGGTAAAAAAGAACAGAAGCATAAATATATGAGACCACTGGAAATCTGAACACTGAAATATATTTGATGCTAACACTGATAAAGACATTGGTTCACTCAGGTTGTCCAAAAGAAAAGGTACTCTTTAAAAATGTCAGTGACTAACCTTCAACTAACAAGCCAAAGACAAGTTGGAAATGAAGTAAAAATTTTAGTCCCTTTATTGGAATTATGTTTCTTCCTTTTCTTTTTTTTTTAGATTTTATTTTTAAGTTATCTCTACACCCAATGTGGGGCTCAAACTCACAACCCCAAGATCAAGAGTTGCTTGCTCTACTGACTGAGGCAGCTAGGTGCCCCTGGAATTACGTTTCATAATTCACAAGGAGCCTTAATGAAGGTCATTGGAGGTTAGGGGTTGAAATTTACATGGTTTTTACTTCTCTAGTCTGTTCTCCACAGGCTTGAAGAGTATGGTCATCTGGCTGCCACATGGATTGCATTCTGAGGTGTGGTGATAGGGTCAGGTCAGGACTTGTCAAAAGTACCAGTCCTCCTTCTGGAGTACCTTCTTCTCCTTCTGGAGAGTTTGTCATGGCAGGTCAGAGAATGGGGCGGGCTCTGTACTGCCTGATTCCATTTCATTTGTGTTATTACAGGACTGCTTGACCCCTATTTGGATTTACTGGGGAAGGTTAGTTAATCAGTTAGAAAAGCCTTCTGCTGCAAGTAACTGAATACCTACCGAAGAGTGAGTAGGTGGTTGCTGGCACTGATTCTGCCTCTCAGTGATGACGGAGACCTAGGGCTGGTGCATTTTTGGGCATCTTATCCAGTCAGTGGGAAGGGAAAAGGCCAGCTATGTGTTTTGTCAGGAAAATATGTTTTTCCCAGATTAGCTGTCTCTTTCCCTCTTTTGATTTCCTTTTCATCCTCTGGAATTATCCTGCAGATTTCTCAGTGGGCCACCCCTATATGCCAGGGAGGGTGGGGAAAGGAGGGGAAAAAGATTGTTATAATAAGCATGATGAGATTCCTGGGGCTGGTTAACATTGCTGCCTGAGTAAAATTGGGGTTCTCATAGTAAAGAAGTGGGAATGGATATTGGTAGGTAATTAATAGTGTCTGTCCCACTGGGATTGTTTCTGGACTTAGAGAAGAGGTAAAGGCATGAACATGATACTCAAAGAAGAATATGTTTTAGGTTTCTGTGTGCCTCTTTATGTAGCAGTGTCTTCATTTTGTGCTTATAAGCAAGCTAGCTGATCAGCACAATAGAGAGCGTGAATTGAAGGATTATTCTGAGGAAGGTTAAAGGATTTGTATAAAGAGGCGCCTGAGTGGCTTAGTCGGTTAAGTGTCCAACTCTTGATTTTGGCTCAGGTCATGATCCATAATCTCAGGGTCGTGAGATTGAGCCCCGCATTGAGCTCCACGCTGGGCATGGAGCCTACTTAAGATTCTCTCTCTCCCTCTAACCCTCCCCACACCCCATCCCTCTCCCTCTCTCTCTTAAAAAAAGAAAAAAAACCTCGATTTGTATATAGAGAATTTAGGATAAGTGATAAAAAGTGTAAAATAATTTTAATTTTTAATTTTTTTAAAGATTATTTATTTATTTATTTGACACAGAGCGAGAGATAGCGAGAGCAGGAACACAAACATGGGGAGTGGGAGAGGGAGAAGCAGACTCCCGCTGAGCAGGGAGCCCGATTTGGGGCTTGATCCCAGGACCCTGGGATCATGACCTGAGCTGAAGGCAGACGCTTAACGACTGACCCACCCAGGTGCCCCTTAGTTTTTAATTTTAATAATAAATTGCTAGATACCTTTTTATCAAGGAGGGAGAAACAAAGGAGGAGTAAATAAAACTTGCTTAAGTTTAAAATGCATTAAAAAAAAGAAAACCTTACAGGTGAGGTACTTAAAAACACTTTGGAAAGATTAGTTATATATATACTTTTAAAGATTATTTATTTTAGAGAGAGAGAGAGAAAGAGACAGAGTATGTGCATGCACAGTGGGGAGGGGTAGAGGGAGAGGGAGAGAGAGTTCCAAGCGGACTCTGCACCAGAGCCTGTTGTGGTGGGGCTCGATTTCACAAGCCTGAGATCATGACCTGAGCCAAAAGAAACCAAGAGTTGGTCACTCAACCAACTGTGCCACTCAGGCGCCCCAAGGTGGAATATAGGATTGGGAATTTAGGAGGTAGAAGTGGACAATCCTGACTTGTCATGAAATCAGAAAAGCTCTGAAAACTAGGAAGAAATATGTAGTTCAACAGGGGAGGAAGACGTTAAATAATCATAAACATGTAAAATTGTAACTATTATGGCTCCATGTACAAAGGAGAGGTGTATGTTGTATTTTTCTGTGTGGAAGCAGTGGCCAAGCTTGGATCTGAGGAGCTGCCTGTCCCCTTGCTAGCTGCCAGGGACCCCACAGCCAGTGCCCTCCAATTCCCACCCGACTATATAGAGTGTCACTCTGAATCAGTGTATCAGGAGGGAGCTGATTAGTGGCGAGCCATGACGTTGGCTCATTAGGGAGGTAATTATCAGGGTGGTCTTAGGACCATTTACCTATTTGCTTCTTGGCATGAATCCAGGATCTTTGAACTGGGGGCAAACAATAGTGGAGACAGACATTTTTTAAGATGGTTTCATGAGTCTGGGTAGGTTTCACCTTAGTCTAATTTTAGCTGCCTTATCACTTGTGAATCTAGGTGAATTAGTGGGGAGATCTTGAAGAGGTTCTAAGATAGAAAATGAAATTAGTCATAAGTACTTACTATGAAAACAAAACTTTGGAATTTTCTGGAGTCTGTAAAGGACTAATAGATTCACATTGTTGTATTTATATCACACTGCTGAACAAATACATACTGAATTAATGAACAGGAAAATATTACATATGTCCAAGAAGCTTTGAGAAACCTAAACTTCTATTTCAGCACATTTATGATGCTATATTTCAACTAGAATTTTGGAAAACTTTTTTTTTTAAGCATGTGTTTTGTTTCAAATTGTCATGTGGTCACTAATGTAAAGCATTTAACTTCCCTTTTATACAAGAGCTGTGAAGTAACAGGGGGAACTAATAACAAAAACCTGGAACGAATCCAGTCTTCTCCACTTCAATGAGTGGTAATTCCATTCCTCCAGATGCTCATCCAATTAGTCAAGAAATCCCTTCAGCTCCTCTTTTGAACTATACCTTGAGTTCAGTTACTTCTATTTTTATTTTT